TACCTAAACTTTCTTAAATGGTCCTGCCACGAATGGCGGAGGGCAAAGACGGTTAGAGAACGGCGCCTGGCTCGGCTCCAAATCCCAAGGAAGGAGGTGAGAGCCCTAGGACTAAGCCTTGTAGGAGGGAGGGACTTCGAGGTGGGTGAGCCAACTACAGTGTGGCAAAAGTTTGAATGTGTGAGATCACAATGGTCATGAGCCGCTGATAAGGTGAGAGAGCGCAGACGAGAGATGGATCTGAGGCGGCTTAAAGGACCGGGTTCAAGTAGTCCGTCAACCCTGATCATGGGTGGACCTGGAGTTCCAGCAGCGAAAAATGTTTCGCGCTGTGTTTCAGTCATAGTAAACCACACCCAGACAATTCATGAGTGAGCCACTTACAGTACTAGGGGCTAAGCCTTAAGGGGAAAAGGGATTCTGGGGAAGATGTGAGCCATTTGCGTTCTCCCTGGCGTTTCTCCCCTCTTCTGGGCCAAGTTCTATCACCTTACCATCGGCCCTCATCTGACTGCACTCCCCCACCTAAGGCCATGAACGTAGGAACAATAAGGTTTCCAGCCCGTGTCGGGAACCCTTTGCTGCAAAAAAAGGTGAGAAATAGACTCATTCAAACATAGCTGAATCTTATGAGCAATTTTGTAGTTCAGTCACGCTTTTGTCATGCTGAACTGGACCTCTATTAATGACCGTATTCGTGATCATTCATAAAAAAATTCAGTGCTTTCGCAAGATTCGAGGGCATTGTGTTGCGCCTAAATCGCGGAAAACTTCTACTTTCTTGTTGAAACAGGGATTAAGCCTTAGGAGGGAAGGCGAGATTCCAGGGTGCATGAGAAGTTTTCATTTTTCCCGAATTTCCTGCCTTCTCCTGAACTAAATCCTTAAAGATGCTCCCGATCTCGCGATAACGCCAAAAACTGAGCTATCACTCACTAGTTTTCCTGGGTGAGAGTTTTGAAGATGTATTAACAGAAGGATGTTTGACGAAACTTAGGAGGCAGAAGCGCTGATGAATGCGTTCAGAATGGCGCTGAGTGACGCGTTTCCTTTTTTCCTGCTTGGAATGCCGCCGCAAAAGTTCATTTGTGCTCCAATCGAAGATAAGCTCTCTCTCAATTGTTCGTCAGATTGAAAAGATAAAATCTAGTCGCATTCTCAGTAATTCTCAAGGACTACCAAGAGCATTTCGTGTATCGACATAGTCGTGGCGGTGGTCGCTCAATTAGGCCGTATGTGTGCGGCTGGCCGCAAAAACTCTGTTTGCCCCAACCATCGCCGCCGTCGTCACTGCATCCGTGCGCCCACGGATTATGAAACCTCGACGCTGAACGGGTGTCTCTGCATCATATCTATTCACTAGTCAGTCTGTATTATTGTTATTCATGCAATGGAGAGCCCGAGTCCATCGCCCAGCCCTGTGCCGTCGAAAGAGGTTACTGTTGCAAAGGTTTTCGTAGATTTATTAGCGTATATAATGTCAGTATCGATTTTTCAAGTAAACTTTGTTGCGATACCGGTGCTCAATGAAGGAACAAGTTCTTTGCTCAGTAGCACTCGCAATAAGATGGTTGAAACTCAGTCAAGAAACGTTAGGACGGTATTTCAAAGGCAAGCAATATTTTGGCCTGTTACTTGAGGTTAGGAGAAATGGCGTGATTTTTCAGTGACGAAAATTTCTGATTGAATAACTCGGCCTTTCCGAAATCGACTAGATTGTGGAGAATTAGTGCAAGGCGCTCAATAGCGTCAAGGTTCAAGCGAGAGTAAAATTGGAGATTGTTGTAAGATAGGCTGCCTCTAGTCGGCTGCTGAGCACTCCGTATCGATTTAAAGATAATGAAGGAGAAAAGAGCTCAATTACTGCGTATTGGAAATTGTAAGAAGTCGACGGCAATTCGTCAGCAAATGAAACGATTCGTCATTTTTTTGCTGCTTAGACAGATTGAAGGAATAGGGATTTAGTGAAGGCTTTTGTAACGGTATGATTATTTACAAAAACCTCTAAAACTCTTAGACCATCCCTCATTGGTGGCATCAGGACTTCAGTAGTATTAATACAAGCTCCGTAATCGAATACTAGTATTTCAAAATCCCATTTTTGCTCAACATTTGCTGCACTGCAGTCTCTTTAGCGGGTCTATATACACAAAATCCAAGTTTATAAATGCGCAGCAACAGTTTGGGTTCCTAAATTTCATCCCAAAAAGCCGAAAAACTGAAATTCCTCAAAAGCTTTTCAAGGTGATTAAGCTCTGCATAAGACAATTCGTGCGTTGTTGGATAGAAAATCAGGATCAGTCAGATTCTTAAGCTACTATTCAGTCTGCGTAATTGGAGGTGATAGTATTTATAGCGTTTTTAGGTATGACTTCACAAAGCTGCTCCCATATAACATTAGACCTTTCTTTTCATTATTTGAAATTGATTGAAGTTTGTCAAGTATAGAAGCGGAGTCAAGCTTGAAGAAACGATCCTGTAGAGCAGTCGTGAAATAAGCCCTAAGAGGGGCTTTGGAGCTCATGAGGCCATCTTTGTGCTTTGACCGGCTTGGAAGTTGAAGAGTGTATGAAAAATGTTATTTTTTGAAGTTATCTCGTTCATTTAAGGTTGCAATAGCGTCAAAGGAGTCTGTAACGGATTTATGTGAAGACGGCCGGTTTGGCATTGCTTGGAACTATGGACCAAGCGGCCCAGTTGGAGATGATATTGGACGAGTCGGAAGCCGTAATGAAGTTCATC